TGTCTTTAACTCTGTGTGTGTGTGTGTGTGTGTGTGACTGTCTGTCTTGTGTGTGTGTCTGTAACTGTGTGTGTGTGACTGTCTGTCTTGTGTGTGTGTCTGTAACTGTGTGTGTGTGTGACTGTCTGTCTTGTGTGTGTGTCTGTAACTGTGTGTGTGTGTGACTGTCTGTCTTGTGTGTGTCTGTAACTGTGTGTGTGTATAACTGTCTGCCTGTAAATATGTGTGTGTGTAACTGCCTGTAACTGTGTGTGTGTGTGTGTAACTGTCTGCATGTAACTGTGTGTGTGTAACTGTCTGCCTGTAACTGTGTGTACGTGTGTGTAACTGTCTACCTGTAACTGTGTGTGTGTGTGTGTGTGTGTGTGACTGCACGCCTGTAACTGTGTGTGTGTGACAGTCTGCCTGTGACTGTGTGATGCTGCCTGTAACTGTGTGTTACTGTCTGCCTGTGACTGTCTGCATGTAACTTTGTGCGTGACTGCCTGTAACTGACTGTGTGTGTAACTGCCTGTAACTGTGTGTATGACAGTCTGCCTGTGACCGTGTGTGTGACTGTATATGTGACTGTCTGTCTGTAACAGTGTGCGTGACTGTGTGTAACTGTTTGTAACTGACTGTGTTTGTGTGTAACTCTCTACCTGTAACTGTGTGTATGACTGCCTGTGACTATATGTGTGACTGTCTGCATGTGACTGCTTGTAACTGTGTGTGACTGTTCTGCCTGTAACTGTGTGTGAGGGGGTGCAGGGATTTTGTAGAGGGGGGCAGAGGTTTTAAAAAGTTTACAAATTTGTTCAATACATTTTTTTAAAAATCTAACACATTTTAAAAAAATTTGTTTTTTTTGTTTTTTTTTGGAGGGGGGGGGGGATTAGGAGGGTGTGCCAAACCCAGGACCCACCCTGGGTGCCACATGCCCTAGGTACGCCCCTGTGCTATAGTATTCCTTTAAGCAAGCGTGTAACTAGAATTAATGTTTAATTGAATATTGTGTATTACCTTTATAATGCCAGTTCTTTTACTATATGCCTCGAATCTATGTTAAGTTATTGGAAGAGATGATTTTAGGTTCTGTTCCAAGAGAACTCTGCCCCTTCTTTCTTCTTCTGTTAGAAAACTCTAGAGAAACCTAAATCCTGATTTTTTTAATTAAAGCAGAAAAGGGCAAGATATTGAAGATAAAACATTAGCGGGTATCTGCCCTTTGTATCGATCGACATCATTCTCTTGGGTTCATGAAATGTGTTGAGTTCCCAATTCATTTTATCACAAGGTTTAAATTCATATAGGTTTTTTTTTTGTCAATCTTTCTTTTATTAAGGCATGCGAGATGGGTTACAGAATAAAGAAAGGGAAATGTACGAGTGTTGTACAATATAGGGTTAATACAGCGTTAACATTGATGATTTACATTTCCTGGATAGTAATGCCTCATTTTTGTTTTTATGTTGTTTAACAAAAACATATTATAAACAGGCTTAAACTCCCTGACATGTCACAGATTTGAAAAGTTAGGTGACAAGATGAAGGGGACATGTATGCGTGCAGGTTTGCGTAGGTAAGCTTAATATGCAGGTTATAGACAGGCTTAAGCTCCTAACATGTCACAGAAGTAAAGAGTTGGTTGACAAGTTGAATAGGACATGCATGCGTTCAGGTTTGAATATGTAAGCTTAATTTGCATATTATAAACAGGCTTAAACTTTCTAACATGTCACAGGAGTAAAGAGTTGAGTAACAAGATGAATCAGTAATATAGTAACAGTAATATATATACCACTGGTGCCCACTGACAGAACACTTTACAAACTTAAAGCTTTTACGGCTGCCGCTCTGTGTGGGCCTAAGGGCCGGTAGAAACAAGGTGCTCAGACTCCAACGCTGGTAGGATGCGCTGCGGAAGCCCACCCAATTGCACTTCACCACACAATTGACAGAGTAGGTATTGGTAGGCTGTGTTTATGGCACAAAAAAAATTAAAAAAGCAATAGACATGTAGGATCATGGCGGTAGGTAGTGTTATTGGCTAGTAACATATTATCAGTCCCGGGCCCAGGTTAGGATGCTCACTCCACACCGAGACTCGGAAATGGGCAGGTGTAACCGTGTGGAAGTTCCAGGCAAGGGCACTGTGTGGTATCCTTCCAGCCCCAGACCATGCTGAGGGCCCGCACTTTGCGACCACGGAATCGTGGGCTCGTGGCATAGTCCAAGTCCTTCCCAGATGGGATGTGACAGAAGCTCCTTGTTGCAAGCTTCCAGTTGTGTCCAGAAGCGGGTAAAAAGCGCATCCAAGCATTCTTCCAATCCAGTAAGCAAGGCTGGTTCAGATGGTAGCCTGTTTTGTTCTGGTGTGGAAGGTCCGTCTGCCATTTTGAGGGGAAGCGTGGTGGTCCGAGCTCATATAGTAGCTGCTATCTGTGGATGTCGGAGGTAAGTGTAGCAGACAGTGGGGACTGGGATAACCCTCGCCGGTCCAAGGGGGGGAGGGAGTCAGGTCCCGCAGTTGTCGTCTCTGACATGCTGAGAATCAGCCAGTGGCAGAAAGGTAAGGCGGCGGCTGTCCACCTCGCCCTCCGCTTGACTATGCTGCAAACCTCGGGGTATCTCAAAAGTGACCGGAGTTTCAGCGTTTTGTAGTTGGGTCAGTCAGCTTCCTCCCCGGTAGCCTTTTGCACAGTATAACACATGTTTCAGCTCATAAAGCGTTATTAGTCGTCTCCTAAGGACATTGATATCAGGAGCTCAACAGACATGCAACTGATCAGCTTGGAGGTTCAGCCCCGCCCCCCAAATTCATATTGTTCTGACTTGTCTTTACTAGTGAAATCCTGCGGATTCCAGAACTAATAGGTTACCAATTTAATGTAATTCGGGTTCCTTTCACAGATCCCTTTTGCTGCTGTTGATCCAAATGAACACATCCAAAAGAACAGTCATACCTTTTCAGGCAAAATAGCCACTCTAGCTGGGAATAGAGATTTTTTCCAATTTGACTATTGTAGTCTATAATTTGGAATTTACTTTGAATTCCCAGCAATCCACACTTTGGTAAATATTTACGTCTGACTGAAGAGTCTACCGACTATGCTTTAAAAGTGAGATGTAACATGGAAACATAGAATGTGACGGCAGATAAGAACCATTCGGCCCATCTAGTCTGCTCAATTTTCTAAATATTTTCATTAGTCCCTAGCTTTATCTTATAGTTAGGATAGCCTTATGCCTATCCCACGCATGCTTAAACTCCTTTACTGTGTTAACCTCTACCACTTCAGCTGGAAGGCTATTCCATGCATCCACTACCCTCTCATAAGATTCCACTATGACAGCCACCCACATACAGCTACCCCCACACACACACATACACACAACACAACCCATACACAGCTAACTACATACAACACACACTGCAATCAACACACAGCTACCCACACACAACAAACACACTGCAACCCACACCAAACACACTGCAACCCACACACAGCCACGCAGCTATACACATATATCACTCACAGCTACTTACACACAACTGTACACATCACTCACAACTGCACACATCACTTACTGTCACTCACACACAGCGATACACGCATCACTCACTGGGACCCCCACACAGCTAGACACACACAACACTCACTGCGACCCACACATATTACTCGCAGCTACATACACACAACTGCACACATCACTCACAGCTACACACACACACACAACTGCACACATCACTCACATTATACAAAGTCACAAAACAAATCCAACACACGGAAAGAATACGATACACCTAGTTCACTTTGGGTGCCAGAAGCTTGTGTTTACTGGACTTGTCAGCTTTCCAGTGACAGCCGGACACCGTACAGGTAGTGTTTTTCATAAATGCATGAATCGGGTGATGGCAGATTAACATGTAGCCTGTGGCAATTGCAACGAAGTGGCCCATTTGTGTTTTAAATTAGATTTTGTTATAAAAAGAGAAATGTAAACATGCAATTAAAAAATCTGGGACACTATGATTTACGGGAATCAGTGAGTCTAGGGACCACATTTCAAAGAGTTTGAAGGTGTATAATTAAAACACGTAAATGTCTACCGCTCTTGAGCTTGCGAGACGATACCGGATATTTCAGGCAACTATTTATTTTCTGGGCGGACTATGCTTTTTTATCCGGTAACATGTATTTATAAAAAGGTGCTCAAAATATAACTACCTAGTTTATGCATTTTATGAGAAAGAGGTCTTAAAAGAGAACTGTTGCTCCCCAGAATTTTTCACATTGTCGGAATTACTCACTAAAGTGAGATTGCTCAGAATTTAAAGGGCATTTAAAATTTAAGGACAAAGTATTTAAGGCCAAAGTAGTCGAACTGGAAAACATTCTGCAAGTCAGTTATGCCTCCCATTCAGCTACTTTGGTCTAAAGTGTGAAATTCACTTTGAATTCCTGACAATTCTCACCGTAGTAACGCTGCATGTTTACATATCCCCTGTATTTAACAAATGTGTATTTAAGAGCCCTGAAAATCAAAAATAACTATAGAAATCCAAACCTTTTCATTCTGCATCCGGAAGCCTCCATCTTTGCTTCCTGTCAGTCATTGATGCCATGTTCTGCCAAAAGAGGTGCGGTCACCATGGAAACTATGAACATGGCTGGCAGGCGGACATGGCAGGCACATATCATTGGTAAATGCACGCCTCTGTGTTTTTTTCATGTTTGGATCACTTTTCAGGACAGACCGTTTTAATACATAACCCCCAAAGTTACCGTTCTCTTTTTTGGCACTACTGAACCGCAACTGAACTGAATTATGAAATCACTTGCTTAATCTTTAATATGCATTTTAAAAGAAAATGAATCATTTCATGAAGAAAAATAAAAATTTAGAACAAAATGTGTTATCTTCAATGTTTTATTTAATGGTGTGATTTCCAGAGAAGTGACAGTTCCTTTTTATAAATCAAACTCAGTGTCATGCATGCCTGGTGCGCTTGCTACCTTGGTGCTGCGCTGTTCCATGGTAAGCGCCATTTCAATACTCCACCACCTCTTCTGGTCCTCTCCTGCAGAGAACAGGGCCCTGCTGTAAAAAGCAATCTAAATGTTACTATTGTATTGTAAAACCAGATGGAGGGAATTGGTCACTGGGCACCTGTCAGGAGCTGTCAAACTGGGTTGCAGTTGTTATGGTGTTTGGAGTGTTTCTTTAATCAAACCTCTATATTTATTCTATTATATATATTCAGTAAATTATATCAAACCAGTCCACGTGTAATCTTCCTTAGATATTAGAAGCTAAATTCCAGCCAACTCAATTTACCCAAATAACTGGGGATTTAGATATATATAAATTCAGACATCATGAAGCCCATTAACCCATGGCCCATTATCCCATTAACTCTGTGAGCCCATTAACTCTGATGTCTCCTTTTTTTTTTTTTTTTATCAGATCTTTAATAAACCAGTTAAATAATTAACTGTATATTTTTGGGAGGAAATCTTGACATGTTGACATGTTAAAGCAACTTTTTGAAATGCAGTTTTTAAAAATAATGTATGTATTCATAAATGTTTAATTTATTTGACGGAGAAACTAAATGTAATCTCCTGGTCCGCTACATGATTATTAATATGGAAATTATCTAGAAAAAAAGGAGGGTTTTAGAACCCCTTTAATAATCTCCATTACTCTTGGAAGCTAATACTTCCTTAAGCGCATGATAAAATAATAATTGTCTAGAAATGACTGCACAAGAAATTAATAATCAATGTGATCATTATTAACGGACCAAAAAAAGATCTCAGAGTCTGTATTAAATAATTACTTTAGGCTTGAGAAAGTCTGTTTAGGGTCAAATTGTCCACAAACTCTAGTGTTAATATTGTCTATATTCACGGCTATTTTTAAACGTATTGTCAATGTGGACTTGTTATCAGTGAAGATGGTTAATTCATAGAACAGGGGAAACTGGTGGTTTAATTCTGTGATGAAGGTTCTTTATAAGGATGCAACATTCTATTTGAGTTTAAACATTTTTGGACCTTACCTGGGTCCCTGGCATGGCTTACAGGCTTACAGGCTTACAGGCTCAATGGTGGCTGGTGACACGCTTAAAGGACCACTATAGTGCCAGGAAAACATACTCGTTTTCCTGGCACTATAGTGCCCTGAGGGTGCCCCCACCCTCAGGGTCCCCCTCCCGCCCGGCTCTGGAAAGGAGAAAGGGTTAAAAACTTACCTTTTTCCAGCGCTGGGCGGAGAGCTCTCCTCCTTCTCTCCTCCTCCGATCCTCCTCCTGGACTGAATGCGCACGCGCGGCAAGAGCTGCGCGCACATTCAGCCCGTCGCATAGGAAAGCATTTACAATGCTTTCCTATGGACGCTGGCGTGCTCTCACTGTGAAAATCACAGTGAGAAGCACGCAAGCGCCTCTAGTGGCTGTCAATGAGACAGCCACTAGAGGATTAGGGGGAAGGATTAACCCATTCATAAACATAGCCGTTTCTCTGAAACTGCTATGTTTATAAAAAAAATGGGTTAACCCTAGCTGGACCTGGCACCCAGACCACTTCATTAAGCTGAAGTGGTCTGGGTGCCTAGAGTGGTCCTTTAAGGCTTTGACAGAGCTGCTGAAGCTGGGCCATTGCTATTCATTGGCTGAGAGTGTCAGCTGGCTACTCTCAGCCAATGACTGACATTCTGGGCTTACAAAGTTGCACAGAATTGACATTAGCTAGTCAGTTCCAGGCTGGCTGATGACACCCCGATAACTCTGCTGAAGGTGAAGTTACACTTCCAGCCACAGAGGGGTTTAGCTCTGTATATGTAGCTCTTAGTTTTGCAGGTGTGGATTAAAATCTCTCCTAAATCTACTCCCAAACACATCTCCCCACATTTCAAATGGAGGAAGAGAATAGAGAAACATTTACATTCTAGGACTGTGATTTACTAATAACAATTCATGCAACTAAAATAAAATTTAGAACAAGAACAATGTATCTTACTTACACAGACTGATTTCTATAAACATTTATTGTAGTTTAAACCCTTATGGGCTGCATGACGATGCAATGCAGGGCTCGAAAACCCATTGACAGCATAGACCATCATGCATTAAAAGTACCAGCAGGGTTAAAGGATCACTATAGGGTCAGGAACACAAACATGTATTCCTGACCCTATAGTGTTAACACCACCATCTAGCCCCCCTGGGCTATAAATATAGTACAAATCTTACTGTATTCAAGCCTGAAGCTGTAAATCTGCATGCTGTTAGACTCAGAAAAACAAGCAGTCTGCTGACATCATCAGAAGTGGTGGCCTGATCCAATCCCAATGCTTCTCCTCATAGAGATGAATTGAATTAATGAATCTCTATGAGGAAAGTTCAGTGTCTGCATGCAGAGGGAGGACACACTGAATCACAGGATGCTGTGCACAGTGCTGCCCTGTGCTCTGCTGACAGCAGATCTGAGTGGATGGAGGCATATTATGCCTCCATCAACTCCAAAGTCCCTCTGGTTCACTCTGAGTGACTGCAACTGGAGGTGTTCCTAGCTTTCAATGTAAACACAGTATGTTCTCAGAAAATACAGTGTTTACATGAGAAAGGCTGAGGGAGCTATAGTTCTCACCTGAACAACCTCATTAAACTGAAGTTGTTCAGGTGACTATAGTGTCCCTTTAAATCCCTTGTGGCCCCAGACTGACAGATGAGCTATGTGCATGGCCTTTTAAATCCTTTTAAACACCGCGGCTGAGCTGTATTTCTCCATATTTTACTTTTTAATTTGTTATTCTTATTTAGTATTGTGTTATGTATACATATAGGATATCAAATGAAAGCCCCATTTCCCCTTTAAAATTATATGCAAGATATATGGGAGCACTTAAACCGAAAGGGTGAAATTGTGGTACAATGAACGCATGGCAAAAGTGCCAAAACGGCCTTGGTCACAAATACGCATTCTACATCAGGTCAAAAGACAGGATAGGCAAAGGGAGGTTCAAAATCAGTGCATTTATCCAAAGGTCAGGTCAAGTCATGACCTTGCAAACTGACCAAGAGAGGCAAAGGAGGTAGAAGAGAACTTAAATACAGGTGATTCCGGCTTGGTTGATTAATTATTTGTATTAATTACCTGCCATAACAGCTCCCAAGGCAGTAACTATAATTTATCATAAAGATGAATTATGTATTTATTGGCTTTAGGGGCTGTTATAGTTCTGCTTACCTGCACCAAGAAAGCCAATTCTCAATGATGACTTACGCATGCAGGCCACAGCCAGCACATTTGCGTCAGCACGTCCTATACTTACTCTGCAAATGTTAGAAAAGCTTGCTGGAAGAGTAGCTCACAGACAGAACGGAGAACAGTCTAGTGGAGGTTTCATCGGCTCTCTCTGTTACTTAATTATCTGCTTAGACTCCATGTGCCCACGTCTTACAGGCCTAATGCCAGGGACTCATTAATGTTGCATTAAGTTAAAGGGACACTATAGACATCAAAACAACTTCAGCTTAATGAAGCAATGTGGGTGTATAGATCACTGCTCAATTCTCTGCAATTTAGGAGTTAAATCGCTGTTGTTTCTCTATTTGCAGCACTAGCCACACCTCCCTTGACTGTGACTCACTCAGGCTGCATGAAATTTAAAAAAAATCTTCAATCAGATGTTAACTTGTCTTGGAAGTTTTTATCTCCTGCTCTGTAAATGTAACTTTAATCATACACAGGAGGCTCCTGCAGGGTTATGGAAGCTATTAACAGGGCAGGATACAAGAAATTCTATATTAAACATACTGTGCAATAAAAGAACATAAAATATCTAGGTTCCCTTTTAGGAAGTGTTTAGGAAGACTATGCAAGACACATGCAGGGAAGTGTGACTAGAGCTATGTAAACAAAGTGGTTTAAATCCTACATAGCATAGAATGTAGCTGTGAGACTGCAGGGGCATTGCCTATACACCAAAACTATTTAATTAAGCAAAAGTTGTTTTGGAGTCTATGGGTTACCTTTAAAAGCTATAGAATATACTTGCATTTCTACAGGCACAATGTGCAGATGAAATTTTATGTTATCCTATACTGTGCTTGGTGTGACAGATACAGTTTAAAATATTACGCAACAGTGAGTGGGCATGGGTGCTGGAGAGCTATGTTTTGAATAACATTTCCCACGTTTCTGTGAATTGAAAGTAAAATATCAGAGCTAAACCACAACTTTTATTATTTGTGCTTGAGACAACCCACGTAACTATCAATGTAGACGTCTATATGAAACTGCGCATATGGCATTACACATGCAGTCACCCACACACACATACACACACACACACACACACACACACACACACGGACAGTATAAAGAGAGTCTAAAAAAAAGAGAGTTTGGAAGAAGGAAGAAAACGCCTGACAGAGAGAGTGACAGAGGCCCTTCTAATGGTAAAGGTCTCATATTTGAAAGAGACCTAACTATTTTGGGGATGACCTGTCAGGTTTTATGACTTTTTTTGAATCTTTTTTTTTTTTTTTTTATTTAAACTTTATTTCTGAATAATCAAAAAAGTGTCATGCAGTAACAGATATCCCAACATACAAAAATGTATTTCAGGGAGGTTGCTTCACCAGCTACTACGCTCTCCCCTCCTGCCCCCCACACAAACACACAGACACATATAGTCACCAAACATGTATGAACACCTTGACACACAGATATCCACAAAGTACTCCAATTATGGTGGGTCCTAACTGCCTAGATATGCATGACTAAAAGTACAACAATAAAACACACACAGTACTTACCTGCAAGCAAAGGAGCAGAGGAATGAGACCACTGCTAGCAGGGAACACTGAAACAAAAAGGCTAACTGGCAAAGGAACAGGTGTGGCAACAAAAAACAAACATTTAGAGGAATTCAGGAGACTAGGAATTCTAGGAACGGAATAAAGGAATGAACCCAGAAAACCCAGCATAACGAAAACCAGACATAGAATAGCAAACCAAGAAAAACTAAACAAGGATTGTAAAAAGAGTACTGGATAACAGAAGCCAAGGCCAGAAATGATTTGCAACAGGAACAGGATGTGACAAATACACACACTTATATACACACTGACACACAAATACATACACACAGACTCAGATACACACTGACACAGATACACACACTCAGATACACACACTGACACACACATACATACACACAGACTCAGATACACACTGACACAGATACACACACTCAGATACACACACTGACACACAGATACACACACTCAGATACACACAGACTCAGATACACACACTCAGATACACACACTGACCCAGATACACACACTCAGATACACACACAGATACATACACACAGACTCAGATACGCACTGTCATAGATATACACATATTTAGATACACACATTGACATACAGATACACAATGGCACATACACCCAGATACACACACTGACATACAGATACACACTGGCACATACACACACACACACACACACACAAACACACACTCAGATACACACTGGCACATAAACACACATACTCGGATACACACTGACAAACAAACTGGCACATACACACCCTGACAAACACACAGATACGCACACTGACATACACACAGATGCGCAGACAGAATCTGACACACATAAAAACATATGTGTTATACTTTATATATTTGCAGCCACCCTCCTTTTATCTTACCTTTTGTGTCCAGGAGTGTGGCTTGCTTGGGGTCCTTGCTGAGGCTGATGGGAGTGAGCAGCAGCCTCTATGCTGCCTGTACCGCCGCTGCCTCCAACCTCCTCCTCTCTCCATTCCTCCTGCGTGGCGCTCTGTGAAGCTTGGAGGAAGTGACAGACTGTCACTTCCTCCCTGCCGTCTGATATTACAGGGGACTGGCGCCTTAAAAGGCTGGCACCTTACCGAGTCCCTGTTTTTTGCGAATATATTATTGGGTGGCCACACATTATACAAAATCCTTGAAATCACACACACTGCCTGATATACATTGTATACAGTGTGTGTGCCTTCTGGGATATTGTATATGATTTGCGGTTGTCATGGAGCCGCATTGCAAATGCGTGAGACTTCCGGAACCTCCGCGAGACTTAGTATGTCTGTAGTAAGTTGCCAAAACATCTGTACAGTATGATACCAACAAGATTTAATAGCAATATCATTTTTAATCTTATTTTTGATGAACAATATTCCTTTCTTTCTGCCGAGACCTGTGTCTTTGTTACTGAGCCCGTCTTCTAATATTAATGACCTGTTGTTGTTTTTTGCAGCACAAATGTTGGATTAATATCTTGTTTACAGCCCCTGAAGAACCATGTGAATATAAGTGAAAGGTTTCTATCTCTAAAGAATCTGTACTTATATACTTTATACTGCTTTGTACGGCTCCTTCTTTTTCTCTCTGTTGCTTAATTTTTCTCGCTCGATCTGGGAATCAAATGGTGGCAAAATGTGCCTATCAGTGTACTGTAAAATATATACATTATATTTATGTTGCGTATATATCTGGCAGTACACTGATTGGCCTATTATTGCACCTTCTGACTCATTCAAATAGTTTATTTGCAAAATGATTGCATGGATGAAATTCGTAGGAACCTGAACGCCACGTGGACAAATCCTGAATTGACCAACAATTTTTTTTCCGAATGAAATGATTAAAGAAAAAGGTTTGAGCATGCAAAAAAAAAACCTCAAATTAAGTGTATTAAAATTGTATAGGTGCCCGAAGTGTCCCTTTAACATGACTGTGTAATAGTAATTTAAAGGAACACTCCCAGATAAGTTTGGCATCTATTTAAATGCTTAATGTGGATTACAAATTACAAAGAACACCACGAATAAACAGATAAAAAAAGATACTCATAACTAAATTTCCTGATTAGTAGTTTATATACAAAATTAGCCGAGACTAGGAAGCCAGTGTAATTTTTATGCCAATTATAGTCCTCCCATTGCTTCCAAGGAAATGAATGTTCATATCAAATAAACTACTACAAGACGGACAGCACAGGACACACTCGAATGCAAGCACTTTTATTATGAAAAAAAATATAAAAAAAAAATATATATATATATATATAAATATTGGAAGGGCGAGACATTTCAAAGAACTGATCAAGTAGCTTCTTCTTTGTTTTTTAAATACTTAAAGCACTTATGTCTTTAAGTGTCACAGGTGTTGTACAAGGCCTAACATCAAAGGTCATGGGAGCTATTTAATAGTTTTATAATGTGAAAATGCCATGCGTACAACTGAGCTACAAACATGGGTTATAGCCTTTGAAATTGAAATTGAAATTGAAATTGATGCATGATTAATTAACAAGAAGAAGAGAGTCAAAACCAGAAAGTTCCTGTTCAATAATCTATCAAAGGAGCATTAGTTCTTATTGTGTTTGGATGTACCATTAAAAGGAAACTGTCACTCCCTGTGATTTTAACATTAAATGTACATATTCCCTATATTTAAAGGGACACTATAGTCACCAGAACAACTACAGCTTAATGTAGTTTTTCTGGTGAGTATAATAGCTCCCTTCAGAGAAAATGCAGTGTTTATACTTGCTCCCTTCAGAAATTTTCATGTAAACACTGCCTTTTCAGAGAATGGGCAGTGTTTACATTGCCCCTAGGGACACCTCCAAGTGGCCACTCCTCAGATGGCCACTGGAGGTGCTTCCTGGCTCAGTGCTGCACAGTAAGCAGCCCTGCCGTTCAGCGTCCCCACACTCTGCATGGAGACGCAAAATTTTCCTCATACAGATGCACCGATTCAATGCATCTCTATGAGGAAGTCCTGATTGGGCAAAATGGCATTTGGCCCAGCCCCCGTGACAATTTTAGCCAATCCAATGCTTTCCCTATGGGAAAGGATTGGCTAAAAATTGACCATTTCGATGATGTCACAAAGGGGGCAGAGCCAGCACCCACAGACCCGCGCGGCGCTGTAAATAAGGTGGGTTTTACACTTTTATAGAAGGGTTAAGGGGGGGCAAGCCACCTAAATGGTGGGTTTAGCACTGTAGGGTCAGGAATACATGTTTGTGTTCCTGACCCTATAGTGATCCTTTAATAAATATGTATTTATGAGATCTGAAAAATAAAATTAGTTTTAGTTATCCACACTTTTTTATCCTGCAACTGGGCTCCTCCATTTTTGTCTCTCAGTGAATCATTGTTAAAAGCTCTGGCCTTTGTACCTGGCAGTCACACATATTTTTTAAATGGAGCATTGCATGAAAAAAGGGAGTAACACGAGTTAAAGGTGATTGGCAATATTTATTTAGTGATGTAATTTCCAGAAACGATGGTTCCCCTTTATGTATAATATCAAACACTGCATAATTTGTTGGCACTCTATGAATAAATGTTAATAATAGTCTAATAAGAACAGATGGTTCTCAATAATATCAAATTACGGTTATAGTGCACTACTGAATTCATGAGCATCTCTGAACAAAATTTTGTTTACATTCATTTCAATGCTTCTTCATCAAAATAGTGAATTTGCAGCCCTCCTAGGATTTAGCCAGTTGGTAAACACCATAAATTTTGCTGCTCCTACTTATAATGGCCCTGTCCTGTGGATTAGAACCCCTAAAGGTTCTTCCTACGGAGCCTGTTTCTTATGTTAGTGCTAAATTTTATTAAAGGACACGGAGGCTCATATTATGCTTATCTCTTTCTTTATTATACCTCAGCAGCAAAGAGAAGGTATAAACATTCATAGAAAAAAAAGTTTTAACAGGTTCTCCAAGGGTTAACCCAACATCATACCCTTAACCAATAGGAACAGTCCCTCTATCTATAACTATTCATGTGACCTTTCCTCTTCCTCTTTCTTTGCTGCTGCCTCAGCTAAGTACCATCTAATTTTAGCTCTCCTCAGAGCACCATTTTGATTTTATACTGTACTTGTTTTGTTTCTGTATCTTTAATTTTGATGTCTTAATGTTTGTGTGGGTTACTTAGCCGGCTCTGAGAGCCGGCGCCTGTCTGCCTTAGGCAGATAGACGTTTTGTTCATTGGGGTTTCCCTCTCCCCCCCCCCCTGCGGCGGTTACCCCCTCCCACACCTTACCGGGTAGTTTATTACCCGTTCTTCGTTCCTCTGTAGCCGCGGCGGCCGTTTCGCGTCGCGAGCGCTCTGAATCCAGAGCCCGCTCGCGCATGCGCAATAGCGGCCGCTCGGCACTGCGGCCATTGCAGTTAGCCGGCCGGTCTTTGCCGCGCTTTTTCTCCGCGCCCGCCCTGTTCCAGAGGGCGGGCGTTCTCTCATTGGCCAGCTGCATTGGCTGACAGCTTACCAGTGCTCCCTGGCGGCCATTCCGGGGGGAGCACTTGGTAAGCTGACAGCCTTTTTGTTTGTGCCTGCATCCTCTCACCTGCACAGTTTCTCTAGCCCACTGCCCACAGTTGGTTTTCCTGTTAGCCCCTGCACAGTGTCACTGGGGCATTCTTTCCCTCACACATTGGTGCCAGCCTGTTACAAATTTCTTGTGTCACTTGGTAATTCAGCCATTTAGGTGTCACTGCCCCCACACCCCAGGTGCCTTTTACTACACCTTCCTGTCATGCACCATCCTAGGGACCACGGGGTTGCCACCCCCAATGATACCTGTAAGGACACCATTCCTCACGTGCCACAAATACCACGTCCATGCTCGCCACTGCGAGAAGACGTGGCATCCATGGATCAGTTAAACTCGGAGGAGTTTCACTCACTCCTGGATGCAACCATGACCAAGTCGGTCACCCAAGCTATAGTCACGGCTATGGGGGCGATGTCTGAGACCCTGACACAATCCATTAGTAATGCCCTACTGGCGTCTAGCAGCCATCCCAGCGGCCCCCGCCCCATGGCCCAGCCTGACAAACCTGTGCCCCCCAGCGGCCGTAAGGCTACGCAGAAGACCCACCATATGGGCAAACACACCTCCAAAAACAGCACGACGGACAGGATACGCCCTGTCACTACTGAGGACGTGGGGCCCCCACGCAAAAGAGCCACCCACCGGGCAAAAGCGGTGAGGACGTGGAAATGGGCAAAAGCCCAGACAGAGACATCCGACTCTGGTTCGGACATAGAGGAGGTAATGAGTGAGTCCGAGGAAATCGACTCGTTGGAATCAGGGAACTCTTCCCCTGAGCGCAACCTGGCAGTCATACCAGCTAAGGGAAAAGCGCCCACGGATGATTCCATCATCCTAGACCCCCAGGGCGAGCCCCTATTCAACCCTGACGACCTGCAGCACCCCAGGTCCACTGACTGGTTCCCAGCTGACCATGTGGCCCAATATATTGCGGCCAGAATAAGGAAGCCCCTGGATAAAACAACCAGGAATAAGTTAAGGGCAGAGTGCCCACGCCCGACGGTCCCTGATATGGCGTGCGCCACGCCAGAGGTGGACCCCAAGATTGCCCAGTTCCTGGGTAAGGCTGGCTGGAAAGCCAAGAAAGGGCTGGACTACTCCTTGCGCCACTGCCAGGATAAAGTGCTCGACTCCTTGGGCCCTAGCGCAAAGATCTTCGACTTGGTCGAAGAGACAATCTCAGGTGGCGCACCACTAGACCCCTTAGTGATCCGAGAATGGGCACAACGCTCTATCTGCCTCATCGGCAACTCAAATGCCGCACTTAGTACTGAGAGGCGAAAGGCAATTCTCATGAAAAGCTGGTCAACATGGCCATAACCGAGCCTGGACCCCAGGCAAAAGGCCTCCTTTTTGGAGACAATTTTGTAAAGGAGCTGGGCACCTACGTGAGCACATTCACAGCCCTGGATAAGGCACAAACAAATCTAAAACGGGTGTTCTCCCCGAAGGTTTTTGGAGGGGCTGGCAGGTACAGGGGCCGCCTGTCCAGCCGCCCATCACGGAGCTCCCACCGGGGCTACCGGGGCCCCACGACACCAAGAGTCCCACAGGCGGAGACCAGAACCCCAGCACCTTTCTTCCCGGTCAAGGGCAGATCATGGCAACCCAGAGGTCACAGGGGCGCCACATACGGCCGACGACCTTATGGTAAGTGTTTTTCCTTTTCCCCTCTCTCATACCTCGCACGTAGGGGGCAGACTTTCCAAATTTATCGGGGCATGGCACAGACTCACGTCCGATGCCTGGATTCTCGACACAGTAGCGGGGTACCACATAGAGTTCGTCTCACACCCAATCCAAACCACAATGCCACGGCGGATGGTATTCGCCCCTCAGGACAGGGAACTGGTGTCGAAAGAAATCATAGCACTGGCGGAGAAAGGTGCGATCTATCAGGTCGCACCCCACTCCCCAGGTTTCATGAGCAATCTGTTCCTGGTCCCCAAGAAAGGCGGTGGGGTAAGACCGGTGATCAATCTCCGCCCCCTCAATACTTTTGTTCGATATCACCACTTCAAAATGGAAGGGATTCATTGCCTGCGAGACCTTCTCAGGCTGGGGGATTGGATGGTCAAATTAGACCTCCAAGATGCATATCTCACCATCCCCATTGCAAAGGAGTGTCAGCATCTCCTACAATTCAGCTGGGACTCCCAGACCTGGAGGTTTCAGTGCCTTCCGTTTGGCCTATCGTCAGCGCCATGGTGCTTTACAAAACTGCTGAAGCCAGTGGTTGCGCTGCTGCGCAGCAGGGGCGTCCGCATGATCATATATCTGGACGATATGCTGATCATGGCCCAAGACACCCTACTGCTACAACAACATTTACATTGGACAGTAACTTTACTACGGAACCTAGGATTCCTAATCAATTGGGAGAAGTCGGTACTAACCCCCTCCCAGTCCTTAGAATTCCTAGGGTTCGAAATAGGGTCGGTCTTAGGGACCCTAAGCCTGCCATCCACAAAGATGAAAATCATCAAGAAGGAGATCCGCAGAACATTGGCTCGACCAACACTTACGGTCAGACAACTAGCCAGGATAATTGGACTCCTTTCCGCTTCCATACAAGCGATCTTCCCAGGGCCTCTACACTACAGGGCCCTACAGCGACTAAAAGCCGCACAACTGCGCTCAGGACACTCCTACTCAGACTCTGTGCCACTCGACCACACAGCCAAGGAGGAGCTCAGGTGGTGGCTGCAGCACGTGGAACGGCAGAGCAATCTTCGGCAACAACCCAGATTGCGTAATAGAATCAGATGCCAGCACACGGGGCTGGGGAGCGCGCTGTGGACATACCTCCACGGGCGGAAAATGGTCCCAAGCAGAAAGGACACTACATATCAACTGCCTGGAATTAATGGCGGGTTCGTTTGCACTGAAGAGCCTCCTGGGTCCCGCAACACATTGTTCCATCATCCTGAGAATGGACAATGTCTCAGCTGTCCAGTACATCAACCGCCTCGGCGGCACCAAGTCCAAAATTTTAGCAGACTTAGCCACAGAATTTTGGCAGTTTTGCTTAGAACGCAGCATCGCAGTACGAGCCGAATACATCCCGGGACTTTCGAACACCGTGGCAGATTGGAACTCCAGACATCTGCAGGATACCAGCGATTGGCACCTGAACCGAAAGGCGTTCCTACGTTTGCACGCTTTGTGGGGTCCGATGTATATAGACCTGTTTGCGTCTCGGTTGAATACGCAACTCCCGGAATTCTTCAGCTGGAGACCGGACCCAGACGCGTTAGCTACGGACGCATTCCTACAACCATGGCCGAACAAACGACTATACGCGTTCCCACCGTTCGCCCTACTGGCACGAACGCTGGTGCACCTCGACCGCACACGGACGTCCCTAGTCCTCATAGCTCCATTCTGGACTGCACAACCTTGGTTCCCTTTACTCATGGAGAGGTCCATAGATCTTCCCAGAATGCTGCCCGAGGATCCACATCTCCTCTCAGACCCAGATGGGAATCCACACCCTCTGATGGCGCAGGGACAACTCAGGTTGTTAGCGTGGCTCCTTTCCGGGGTCCCTGGGTCGTGCCAAACGTTCTGCAAACAACTCTCGAACTCCTGGCGGGAGCCTGGGCTCCGGGAACACGACGATCCTACTCTAAAGCTTGGAACATCTGGAGTAGTTGGTGCATGGAACAACACGTGGATCCCGTATGTGCCCCTGTAAACCAACTGTTGTGTTTCATTACACACCTATACGACCAAGGACTTGCATATCGGACCATCAATGTATACAGGTCAGCGATCTCGGCGGGACACAATGGTTTCCAAGGATTTCCAGCAGGCAAGCATCTGCTGGTATGCAAGCTTTTACGCGGTATTCGATTGGCAAGACCACCGCGACCCCGATATAGTACGGTATGGGACGTGAATGTGGTCTTAAATTTTTTGGAACTATGGCCACAGAACTCGGACCTCACATTGAAACAACTTTCAGCGAAACTGGCCATGCTCTTATGCCTAATATCCTGCAAAAGAGTCTCGGATGTCCGGGCATTGGACGTCGACGCACGCACGTTCACTCCAACGGGAGTAACTTTCAACATATCCAGGCGTACAAAATCAGCGACAACATCAGTGTCATATCCGGCATTCCCGCACAACCAAAAACTGTGCCCGATTGCCTGCCTCAAGGAATACGAAATACGGACACAGGCATTTCGAAACTCGGGACACCACGAACTATTTCTGGCCGTCAATTCGCCACACCAGCCAGTATCTTCCATAACGATAGCCCGATGGGTGAAGTGGATAATGGCTTCTGCGAACATTGATACTTCAGTATATGGGGCACACTCCACTAGAGGAGCTATGGCATCTAAAGTATTCAACTTGGGATGCAGACTGGAAGATTTGTTACGGACGGCAGATTGGTCTCATGAATCCACATTTAAGGAATATTACTTTCACCCTACAGACCACGTAGCATCAAGAGTCATTGCACAGCTTTGAACTAGCATAATATGAGCCTCCGTGTCCTTTAATAAAATTACCAGATTTTACTAATTACATGACGTAAAGTCATGATTTTATAAAGGACACGGAGGCGAATATTGGCCCACCTGGTAAGTATCTCAGACATATATCAACGAAAGTAGAGTGACATGCCCACCCAATAAACAATAAAACAAGGGTCATTGTGGTGTCTTATTTCGTCTCGATTTAATTCGTTTTTTATTTAAGAAAACTGTACTAGTGAATCTGTAATACATCAGGCATACGCTAAGATTTCATCACTAATGTTGTGGCAAACAGTTCCTCAGACCACATTTTACCATATTTTTTCTCTATCCCCTTACAGTTTAATTCGCAATACGCGACACCCTGGATGACCAGTTGTCACCGCAGTTTACACAGACAAGTTCTTACAAGTTCGGGATATGGGAAAG